AGACTGGTTATATCTTGGTCGCGTTGTAAGAGCTTAGTACTAATCGTTCCTATCGCAACGCAGAAACCGACAACCTTCGTGTATCTGACAATTTTATGGTTTAAACCAAGATCCGCATAAAATTGATAACTCGCAAGAACTATCTCAGACTAAATAATTCGGGAGCAATGAGCGCATTTCAAACTGAATTATTGAAGCACCTCAATGGTACAAATATCAATGACTTTTCTGGAACAACAAATGAACATTGGTCCAAACTAAAGGAATGTTTCGGATGTCTCAGCCACTTCCATGCTAGGGCATACTACTATGAAGTGCGCTAGTTGGGTATCAGAAGCAACTATCAAACTGAAAAAAGTGCCAAAGCATGAATGTAAGGAGATTCTGATTACCGGATGCTGCCAAGAATTACAACGGCTGCAGCACGGGATCAAAGTCAGTATTGGAGTGAAGTGACCCTTGAGAATGGAGGCGGTGGAACGATTAGGTGATAACAGGAAATTAATTCATCTTCTTCACAAAGCAAGTATAACTCGGGGAATGATCAAGAAAATGGTAAACGATAGCAATGTAGTAGTGCCTGTTAATAGCATTAAGGACCACCTCATAAGATGGAAGGAATTCTTCGAGGCCAAATTTAACTATGATACGCCAACTGTTGATCTGGACAGAGCTGATACGTTGGTCAAACCATCCGTTTGCAAGTGCGAACCGCCAACAGTAGGTGAAATAATCTCCGTTATCCATGAGTTTATGGCCAATAAGACTCTGGGATAACATGGTCTTCGGGATGAGCTCTTCAAATCTTGTCCATCGTCCTCCACAATGCACCTTCAATAAATGTGCTCTCTAGTATGGAAAAGAGAAATATTACCAGATGATTGGAGTAAAGCAATTCTGCTCCCAATTCCCAAGAAAAATAAAAGAACATACTGTGACAATTATCTAGGAATCAGCCTGTTAGACGGCTCAACGAAAATTTTTGCTTCCCATAATGATTTACCCTTTGTTAAGAAATATTTACAAATTGCCATATAATAATAGCTACTATAACAGCTCCATAATTTCTGTTTCTGGTTACCAAAGTAACACCATTGTTGATTGACGAAAATACCTTGGATAAATACTGCCTTCCCTTTCATTCAGTAGACTCGCTATTAGCTATTGCTTTACAAAATGGCATTACAAAACAACAACAGATGCGCCTTAATCAAGCTGAATTCAGGTATGCGGTTGTGCTAACCAGATATTCACGTTAAGAAGGGCGTTGAAACATCGCTTCAAACATCTATACGGCTGCCTTCGATTCAATTGATAGAACAGCGCTTTCGAAAATGGTGGAACGCGACGATGTTTCAGAGAAGATCGATCATTCTAAAAGCATTTTATCAGTGTACGTCAGCGCAGGTCTATGTATATGGGGAACTGGGAGAATCCTTCGAAATAAGAGCTGGTGACCGTCAAGCATGTGTCCTTTCCCCTACAATATTCAATGATGTGATAGGCTGGATTATGGGCATTGCTTGTCGAGATGTGCAAATCAGTAGCAGAGAATAGATCATAGACCTTGAATACGCTGATGATGCAGCTTTTTTGCTGGCATTATAAGGAAATGCAAATAATGTTAAACAAATAATGTGTCAACAACTGTGGCGAGAATCAATGTAAATAAAGCAAAAGTATTTTTATTATATACAAGAAGCTGATAAAACACCTATTTTTATCAACTCATTGCCGGTTGAGGAAGTGTCCGACTTTTCTTGGATCCACTCTAGTCCCAAATGGCCAGGAAAAGAATGAGATTGCAACCTGGATAGCGACAGCTAGAAATGCGCTCTTTCGGTTGACGAAACCTTTATTGAACCGTCGCGAAATCACTATGAAGGCGAAAGACCGCGTCTATATAGCCGCGATGCGTTCTATCTTGGTATATCGCTGCGAGATAATGAGGGTGAAGGATATTAAGATGTATCTGCCTTTGACTATTCATGTCTATGGTATTTTACTGGCTCGCCGAGTGGATAAAATCGCACATGATTGTATCCATTTTTCTTCAAATACCACTTGAATTAACAGTACCATCACAGAGCGTCGCATTTGCTAGTAGGGCACGTTCTTCGTCTCCCACCACAAAAGTTGACACATATTTCTTTATTTGCTAAACCCTGTAATAGGTGGCGTCAAAACCGAGATTGGCCGATCAAGGCTTGGACTGACACGATCATAAAAGATTTTGAACGTATAGAAAGATTAGCGATATATGGACTTAGACGATGGAAGAAGGAATGGCTTCTATAACTATCAAAGATGGTATCGGATTAGTAGCTTGGAAAGGTTTTACTCTTTTAGCCAGTGGAGCCAGCCTAACCAGTAATGATGAGGGCTGTTAGAAGAAAAAGAGGAAGAAGGCAATCTCACGGCCGTAGCGGCAGGAAAAAAATTTTTTTATCGATAATTCATCTGACTTTATTAAATTTGAGATATCCAAGATATTTTTTGTCCGTCTTTCACAAGTTCACATGAAAAATTTATCGCCATTATCCACCATAGCATTATTTGAGCATTGCCACTTACTAAACTTATGGAATTTATGGATTTTATGTCCATTGAAGACTATTCATGGAAACCTAAATGAATCAAAACCCATGAATCAAATATGGGATGCATACAAGCAAAACGATTAGCAAAATCAAAGATAAAATCTTTTAACTGGACTTTCAAATCTTTTTTACCGAAATTCGGCAATAAAAATTTTGACTTAAACATATTTTACACCTAGCTATTGATAAGCTGCCAGAATTCACAGCGATTGAACGAATAAAAATCTAATTGTCGCTGCAAACTAAGCTAGTTATTGATAAATAGCGTATTAATTTTTTTTTCATTCATTTACAGCTGAATTATCTTTTTTCGCTCAATTTAAAAATAAGAGGATGATGGTAATAAACCTTTCATTAGCATAATTAAGCTTTGAGGCTTCTTTTTTTCCATAATCATGCCTTACTAGCAAGAATTATTTCTTTCATTTTATTCAAACTGATATTATTTAGCAAAAAAACAAAAGAAAATTTTTATTAAAGAATAATCCTTCAATATAATATGATGAAATTTTTCCCCTATTACTAATAATAAGAAACTAAGAGCCATTCCTGAATCGGCTTTATTGACGCATAAGGAATGACTAAAAAGTATAAAGTTATCGGATCGTATAAAAAACTGCAAAATGATGGAAAATTCGAAATTCTCATTAGCAAAATGTCTGACTTTTATTAACACTTTAGTATACCATATATTGTTTTACATGAGAATTCAAAATCGATTTTTTTATTCACTTAAAGCAAACAGAAGATAAAAGAAGGAAAAGTTTGATAATAAATCAGCAAAAAGCATGTCATTATTACTACATATCATATCCAACGATGTTTTGGTCCTCATCTAATAACCATAATAGTCCAGTAGATCCCGAGATAAGGAACGTTTTTTGAAAAATGGTGATTCTTCGTAGAGACTGCAAGAAAAAAATTTTCATGGACAAGTTCGAGACAAAACCCTTTTTATTTTGAAATAAATTAGCTTATATAAGTTAATTTCGGAGAAAAAGAACAAAAAATATACAGCGACTGTGAAAAAAATGGTAAAATTTTTTTAACCTGGCAATCTCGAAACAAACATAAAAAAAAGATAAAGAATTCGCTACAAAAAGCACTTTTGAAATTTTGAAATAAATTTGAAATTTTTGAAAATAAAATTATAATAGATGATGATTAAAATTGATTTTTTTGAAAAAAACAAAAATTCATTGAGCTTAAATGAAACGAATTTTCGAAAAAGTATCAAAATTTAAAATTTCTAAATTTAATAAGAGATACGAATATTGAACGTGCTAGAGCATTCAATTACAATATCATAATTAGCATACTATATATATTAGCATAAATATTTATCTATTCAACTCTTTGTTCCCACCACAACGATTTCCTTTCTTTTGCTTTCAAATTTTTATCTCGATTCACATTTGCGGCCAAATCCCACTAAATCAGATAGCTCGGTGTGAACAATATTTCAATTCTTCAACAATTCTTGGCCTTTATTATCTACTACATATCTTGAGTTAGGGCAGCTGGAGCGTTACGGTGAAGTAACAGAGCAACGACCAAGGAGAACATTTGAGCCATCGCTATTACAATACACTTAAATTGCATAAATTGTCCTTTCCGATGGATATAACAATATATTTCTTCAACTGTTATTATAGTTGCTGTATTTGTTGCCGTTTCACACTAATTAAATACTATTATTGTTCTCGTATTATTACATATCAGCACGACTAAGCTGATCTTAATCATAAATAAACCGAAACGATGAGAAAATTTTGCGTACTAAGAAATATCTCGTTTTGGTATTCTGATTTCGGCATCATGTGAATCGAAATACTTGATCATTTAATAGTGCACGAAGCAAGTGCTACATTCGAGCATCACGGTTTCTGCGTCAGATAGGAACAAGCCTGAGATTAAAATATCCTAGTGGTGCTTTTCATTCATCTGCAATTCTATCCTTAAATGATGCTATAGGCCAAATTGTCCCATTTTATTAATAAGCAGTGAAGCGTATCTAACAATAGATACGAGGTCCTAGCCATATGCTTACTAATGTCGATAATTTTTATTCGTTTTTCAATTTTTTCAAGTAAACATTTGGCCAATTTCGGTTTAAGAATTAAAAAATAACTTAGTCTTTAATCGTTTTATTATAGCTGTTCTTGGGTGTCTATTAAGATGTCTATTAAGATGGCCCATAGAATAATTACAATTATTACCCATGGGAATTGCTAGTAATCATTAAAACAGATGCCTCATAAATATTGCGACCGAATATTGCTGAAAACGTGAATTATGATGAATAAAGCCCTAGAAAACCTTGAATGACATAAATGACATGAATGAAGTTTGGATGGTTAACCCAATTTCATCTTAATGTTATAGGAACAAAACATCATTTCAAGTAATGCGAGTAGGGGAGAGAATAGTCAAGAATTTATTGGCAAGATTCAGGTTAAGCATCATGGCTTTCAGTATGTCAAAAAGCCTATGAAATTCGAATGGTGCTGTGGGCCCAATTATTTTATCTTCAAAGGACATTCGATCCCATATCAGAGGAAACCCACTTTTATAGATAATTATAGGTGATGTTAGAATAAACTGAAAAAAATTCCTTCATATTATCAAACTTGCAAATAAGCTAAGAAAATGTTCAAATTTATCGTAAGTTTTTAAAAAATTTTTAAATGGGAAGTAATTCACTTTTTTAGCTCAATAAAAAGTGAAACTACTTTTAGACTGGCAAATTTCTAAAGTTAAGTATTTAAATAATTTACCGAGATTCGCTTATTGTAGGTGGATTCCAAACCGAATAGAAGCCTCGACCACCTCCGCGCTTTGGTTGTTGATAGAAATAATATGGTGAAAAGGTCTCTTGGCGCTTATCAGTCGGATAAAAAAATGAATCGAAGTCGAAACGATGTGGACCAAATGTTCGAGCACCTCCACGTTTTCCCGCGTTAATCAGTTGTCTGAGAAATTAATAGTTTTCAAAAATTAATAGATTAATTAAAATTAATTAAATTAAAAATTAATATTATTTAGTTTTCGCGATGGTTATTTTGAGAGTTTTCCAGAAAAAGAATTTGCCAAAATCGTTTAATATCGTGTCTTTAAGGGTACTATAAAAGGTGAAGCTTCGAAAGAAAAAAGTAACCTCTCTGCTTTCGTATTATCCAGGTTTGCAAGAAAACTGGGATAACTGCCACTTTCGCTGGCTAAAAAATTTAAGCTACATAATAATTAAGATTAAGATTTTTTTGTGACAACCTCTGTCTTTTAAATTATTGCCCAATTTTTTTAAAAAAATTTTTTAAAAGTCCAGCACATTTAACAAATGTATAACATGATTTTACCTCATTGATTCAGTTTTATTAATGCAAAAAATATTCTTCAAAACGAATGAAGAGCATTGAGATAATGGACAAAGGAATGTTATCTTCTAGGTGCTTTTTTATCATACCGGTATTTGATTTAACGATTCGATTATACAAGGATTTTCTGGATTAAGAACTTCTCAGCAATAATAATTTTGAAAATTCGAATAAACTAATTTATTTGAAGCTTTGTGCAAAATCTAGAGAGAGAGAACATAAGCATAATTTGATGTAAAGGCGCTAGGATATTGGCTTGTCTTTTCGCTATGGTGCATTATATGAAAACATCATCTTTCAATATGTTTCGAAAGTCAGCAAAAAGGAAGAAATTTCAAACAAGTGGATAATTCAAAACAAAGGGAATTTAAGAAAATATAGCTTTATTAATCAGAATTACTGAAGTTTTCAGCTTTATTCATGGATTTTAATCGTACATTTCAAAAAATCCTTTCAAATTTAATTTAATATCTTCTATCATTATTTTTCTCCTAATATTAAATATTAAGTTCTTTCAATATTAAATTTCTGCTTCAAATTTAGTTTTATTCGCCGTTTCGGGTAACGAATTGATAAAATTTAAACTAAATTATTGACAATTTCATGGCGTTATTTTTATTGACGAACGCTGATTATAAAGCTTTGCTAGAAATTTCATATTTTATATAGACGAAAAAATATATAAGAATACTTCATCAAACAATGACAAGAAGTTTACCATAATTTAAGTAGAAATCACCAGAAGGGATGAGGAATTTTTTTTGAATTTTACTCATTTCTACCATCATGATTAAATATCAAAATTATCAGAGATTATTTTATCAATTTGTTCCTATCATCTGCTAGCTCACATAACCATATTATTAGTCTCATTCTTCACAGAAATTTACCACCATCTGGCTGTACTTCATACCTACTTATATAAAAATTTTTATGTATTTGACGAGGTAACAACTAGAGTGAGTCATTACAATTAACAAGAAAGGCGACTCCATCTGCCAGCAATAAAAGTAACAAAAATATTCTTCGGAAATAGATCAAATTATTTCGATCTTTCATCCAAAAGCAGTTTAAAAACTATTGAAAAATAGATAATGTGATGATTCCGACCATTCTATACATTTTTTTGCAAAATTTTTTAATTTTAATTGAAAATTTTCCTAGGAATCATAATTACCAATGAGAATTCAAAAATAAATTCAAAAACAGTAATAAGTTTGAATTTGCAAATGGATAATTTTTGATAAGTTTTGAGCCATGGCTGGTAAGATTTATTGCTGCTGGTATGTTTATAGAATAATCAAATCGTCGATAATTAGAAGTTTATCAGTTGAGAATGGAATTTTCCGAATAGCACTGTAGCACATTGACCAAATGTCGTTGATATAAAAAATGGATTCAAGTTGTTATTATCAGTGATATTTGTTTTAGTTTTTAATTTCTATTTGTTTCACTTTTTTAATATTCTTTATTTCATTTTCAGTCTAACTTTCAATGCTTTACATTCTATTTTATTTTACTTTGTTGTTTGCAGTAATTAGCACACGGCAATGCATATTTTTTGTAAATAAATAAATAAAAACGCCAACTTTTCGTAAATGGAATCGAAAATATGCTTGATAATCAGACAAAAATTTAATAATCATGACGATCAAATCAATTCTAGTGCGCTTTCAAGGAATTATTCTTGTATTGGATTATTTTAATAGGCAGTTGGTTGGAAAAACGACTTTATTCATGCAAGATAGCCAGGCAGTTGGTTTCATCGAGAACAAACAAGTATTGCTACGTTTGCAATCTCCAATATCAAATAACTATTCAATATTTGAGTTGGATTCCGAATAGTAATTTGATTGTTAATCTTCCATCTTCCATACAATCTACGTTAAAAAGAGAGAAATCGTTTTGAAAAGTATCGCCCACTGAATTAGTTCACTTGTTTGGAAGACAAATAAGCGAAGAATACTATACTGTAATTTGTAACATTGAGCGAAACGCCATTACTATCTATCTAACTGCATGCACCATTTTTCGTTTGACTGGTTTCACTGTCTATTATGGGTTAAATCTCTTCAACAGAGAGTGGTGGACAGAATTACATATGGGTCGCAATAACACCATCGTCTTTTAAAGGATATTGACTGCTCAACTGCAGAAAATTTTCCTTGGGAATCACCGTTTTTATTGTAAAAAACATTGGAACTACGAATATTGAACGGTAAAAATTGTAAATGATCACTTAAACTTTGGGGATCAGACTTTGATATTCTATAATATTTTTAAGATTTATAAAAGATAATGGATAGATAATTTTTAATGCAGTCAGCAGCGAATGGATTTTTCATGTAAAATGCACCATTAATTTGATGTGCCATCGCAAATAAGAAATAAGGTTTTAGAAAAATAAGTTTGAAGAATGCTGGGCGATTAGTTTAGTCACTTATTGGATTCCACTGGGATTTGTAACGCATAAATCAAATGAAAAAACAACATTAAATTTATCGAAAGCATGTTAAAGGACTGTTGCATCAATAAATCTACTAAAAATATCACTAGATCCACTACAGTTTTATTTTCCAGTCAACTGTGAAAGCAGTAACTTTGTATTTCGACTGGACATGACTTTCTTTCACTAAAAATTTTTCCAAGCTCGTGGATTTAGCGAAATCATGGTTATTGGCTCATTGCCTTCTAAGCTTAGATTATAACAAGCTAATCTTTTTACAAAAGCGACACTTTACCAGAGGTGCATTAAGATTAGGGCCCCATGAACGACTACTATTTTATGTACATAGTTTCTTGTATAGTTTCACAATTTTATATTCTTCGTTAACTTGCATGGCTTTGCTTGTTTTTGGTCTGATTCGAAGCAAAGCATAACGAAAGATTCCTATTTTGCAATCACTTGCACTTCAGTGGAAGAATAAATGAACATCAAGCAAAACTTGCACAACATTTGCTCAAAAACAATATTTTATATATTTGAATCTAATTGGCTTTCTTCGCAATTTGCGATTTCGAAATTTCTTTTATTATTCACTAATGCACCGCTAAGTTAAAGTTAAGGTGAAGGTTCTAAGCAGGTGAACCGGTTCAATTTCGATTCATATTTGTAAGAGTATAATATAGTACGCTTTTTTTTATAATATATATAATATAGTACGTTTTTCGCTCAAACAGATTCCAATTTTGGAAACCTCCTTCGTTCTCACATATTAATGCGATCGAAATGAAAAATCAAAATGAACGGCTTTTTCGGTTTTTTTAAAACCACTTTTCGTCGCACCACAGAATCAAATATTATTTTCATGGAAATTTCAAATCCTCCACAAATTTCACATTTTTTGCTCCAATTTTCATTTCGTTTTCTTTCTAATTTGTATTTCCTACCGTTTGAAAATTTAAGGTAAATTTATTGAAATCTATGAACTCTCTATTATCTCTATTAAATCCCTCCATTCTTTTGGGTTTACACGCTATACACGAATATAAATAAAAACTAGGCAATTTCTTAAATAAAATCTATCTTTATTAAATATAAAAAAATAATTATCGGTTAGCAGTATGTAACTGGCCGAAAAAACAATACCACTCAAATGAAATAAAGTATATTTAACGGAGCATTGGCCAACTCAAAAACGAACCAGTTAATTAAAACAGGATTCATTTCTATTAAAATTAAAGAATCCACTGACCATTGCAATTCAGTGCATAAAAGCCATTCAATTTTAGAAAATATATTCATAAAGAAGTTGAATTTTCACAAAGATATAGGCAAAATTAGAAAGAAAAATCGACAAAAAACTTAAAAAAATCTCAAAACAAAATGATTCTTGTTTGACATCGAAAATATATATAAACCTGTTCTAACAAAATTCTCTCTCAATCCCTTACAAATTTTCATGTTTTGATATAATTATAATTCATAAATTTATCCCGTTAATCAACAAGAAACAACAAAATTTTATTTTCTACTTATTTTGCTCATTAGAAATTGAAGTAGGTCCACTGTAATATTTTATTTCCCTTCCCGATCAAGAACCGATTTTCTTAGAACGGAATATAAGAAATAGTTAATGCTGGCCACTGGCGGTTAAGTTAGCACCCGTTTGTGCGCTAAGAAGCGACTCGTGCGATGGACGGGTTCACTTCGTTGAAACAGAAGTGGGTCGCCAATGGATTTATTAATTCAATGGAATCCTTGCCTAAACCGAACCTATTAAAATCCTATTTATTGTTGAATAACTTACACAGTGATTGATGAACAATTTTAGCATCTGAAAGATTAATGCAAATCGTTCATTATCTAAGAATTCTGTACTTACCACAAGCGACCAATAATAAACCAAGAAAGAAACAGATAGGCATTTGACCGAACATAATCGCCTCACGATATGAAAAAAGGAGATAGATGGTTCGTCTTCGAAATGAAGCCACTGATGAATATTGATCGCCGAAGACTACTGCTTTCCTTCTTCGTTTCTAGCTTTTCTTCCAATTTTTTTGAGATTTAAATCATTCTTACACACAGACATACGTACACAAATTCCTCGAATCATGGGTGTGGCTTTAAAAAATATCATAAAGGCTGCATTTACAACAAGCCGAAATCAAATTTATCGGGCACCAATTACTGAATTATTAATAATCACTGATAACTTTAATTCTCCAAACTTATTCGTATTATCTAAATTCTTTTTGCAGCTATTTTTTTATAATTATTATAATTATTTATTATAAATTAAACAAATCGATGGCTAGCACGAATCATTTCTTGTTAAGCATGCCCCAGTTACTATTAACCAGTAGCAAGTTGGCTGAGACAATTTTGTATAAAAATGGATGAACTTCTAACAACAATCAGCTTCTCCATAATTGAGGCTACCGCAACAATAGCTAAATTTTCAATAATCGCATAGTTCTAACCAGACTTTTCAAACAATGAAGGCAACTGACAACCTATAACGTGTGCACCTTTACTTCTAGCATTTTGATCCCTGCGAAATTTTCAACGACATGAATTAAATCATTTCAGATCGTTCTAAACTTTATCGAAACTTCTGCTTCAAACATTAGTTAAAACAGAAAAAGTAATAAACGATTTATACAAAATAAACGGTAGAATATAATATCCAACTAAATTTTTGCAACAAGTCTCCGCTCCCCTTCTTATTAAAACAGTTAAAAAGATTTAAAAAATAATACGAATTTAAAAAGTTGAAAATATAATGAATATAAAAGAGATCATCAAAAGTTGCCGCATACAACAACAAATTGCAACTTACTGATTAATGAAATGCATATCAACCATATGAATTTATTTTTTCAAAAATATAAAAACAAAAAATTTAATAACTCGACAAAATTCGAATCCAGGATAAAAGCATTATTTATCATTCACTTCATCGAGTCATCTTCAGCCAGTTCATGTGGGTTAAGCATACCTGGTACCTAAAATTAGCTATGATTATAACCAATTTGTATTATAATCTTTAATACAAACCAGTGAAACCATGAACGATTAGAAAAATAAAAAAACCTCATTCTTTGCGTTTTGCACGTTCTGTATCTCCTGCTCACGCTCCTCTAGAAACAGATCAGAAGTATCCTCACCAACTCTCTCCTATAAAGATTTTAACGTCAAAATCCTTTTCAATAAAAAAAAAATCATCACCAAATAAATTCAGCAAATAAAATCATCACCTTGATTTGGATTAGAAAATCGCGGAGATGATATCTCATCTTAGGTACGTCGGTATTGAAAGAGAAGAATCCTTTTACAGTGACGCGAATTTGATCTCTAGAAAGAAGAGGCATTTTCCAATGTTACAAAATTAAATTCCGAAGTATGAAGTGACTGCTAACATAGTTTATTGCAACTGATTTTCTTAGTTATGATAGTAAAACAAACAAAAACCAAAGAAAATGTATAAGTCGCTTTCAAATAAAAAAAAAAACTTTTGAGAACACAGTTGGTAAATGACAAAAACTACTGAGTAAGGTTTCCAAAGGCCTGACTGAACGTTTGGCTAATTCGTTGATAAATAAAATCCATATTTGATTGAGGAGGATTTAACTGATCAGTGATAGAGAACTCTGCAGCATAAAAGAGAGAGCAAAGAACGTCAGCATAACAAGACAACCCTAAAAAAAAATGAAACAATCTTATTTTACCTGCCCAAGCTTTATTCGCAAAAAAATGGGAAAAATATGAGAAACATCACCTACCCACTATTTTTATTTGATTGCTATCAGTAACTACTGACAGAACATGTATAACAATATCCACAAAGAAGATTTTGTAGAAACTTTGTGCTTTGGACCGATCTGTACAACATGCGAACTGTCGAAGCATATCCTTGAGCATTTCCAAGCCTACGATAAACAGAAACATCAAATGGAAGAAATGAAATAAAAAGTGAAACAAAAATAAAAAACAAAAATTAGAAGGAAATAAATTGAAAATCTTTAGGAAAACCGATTTCTGCAACGTTGCGCATTGTATGTTTAAACGCCCATACGATAGCATCAATAATTAACTTGAATAATTCAGTCGGAAGATTAATTAAAACATCAAAGCACTCATGGATGAGGGAAGCAATGAGTTTAAAGAAGTTTATGCGATGTTCAGGATATTCTTCCATATCACGATTAACCATTTCCAGTGTGCAAGAGAAAACTGCATCAAGAATGCGAATAACTTCACCATTGATGGAGCTCTTGAAAACAAGAGAAATTTAAAAAAAATTTTATTCCATAATATTTAAAACTACTGAAATGTCGAAGAAAAAAACATACATGAAGCTGTGAAATGATAATCGAAAGAAGAGACAGAACTTTCGGCTCACGGGCAGCAGGACAATTCCGCTGATAATCGAACAACACTGCATCGAATAGAGGAGGCACGATATTTTCAAGAACAAACTACAAAATTTAAACAGTTATAATAATTTACTTTAAATATACAATAATTTAGTTATAAACATGAAATATAGAACCGATTTAGGCTAGTGATGTCAGAGATTAAAAAGCTTGAAAAGACTTTATTCGCCATAGTGTAACCAGCCAAACAAAACAGAACTGGTGCTAAAATATTCTAAAATAAAAGAAAAATAAAAACAAACTAAATCATACAGTAGTTTCATCATATTTTGCGATCCAGCAAGAAATAAGTGTTAAGATTTCTTTTTTAACTGTTCTCATTGACTTTAGTAATGGCTGTTTCAAAATATCTTCACCATTTTTCAAAACCGCATTGCTGATGTTCTCAGATACAACTTTGTAAACATTTAACATATCGAGATAGATTTTTGACAACTAAAACATAAAATTTTAAAAAACACATTAAATACTTTAAATTATATCAAATATTTCGGGAAATAAATCTACATAAAGTATCACATCATTTCCTACTCGGTCTTTGTCTGAAAAATGATATAAATAAAAACGAAACGACGAATATTTTCATTTTTCAAAAGTTTATAGCAAAGAATATATGTGGTTTACCTGACAAATAAATGGTCCACCTATCGATTTGCAAGCTGAAACATTTGTTTTTAAGATGTTTGCAACATTTTTCACAACATCGTGATCTTTGAATACATTCATATCCTGCAAAAAATTTTAAAACGATTTTTTATAATTTGAAAAAAATATAGCGAAAAAGATTCAGAGTTCCCTAAATTGTTCGAAAAACAGAATTAGCAAAATATTTACGCACTCGACTGGCATGCAATATTATTTCCTCCCAGATCGAGTTCGGCAACTGCATAAGTCGTTCAATTAACGTTTCTTGCATAATGGAATCAGTCTGGGCTGAAATTAGACAACCCATGGCTTCATAGAATATGTGAACCTGTGGTGGCGACAAATCACATATGATTGAATTCAAGGCACCAAGAATATCATCGATGTATGGATACACTTCACCAACTTGCACCTGCAATTTCGTAAAGTAACTGTATAGCACATGACAGTGAACGAAAATCCCTTAAACGGCATACAATAAATCAATATACTACTCACCATAACAAAATGTCGTTTGCACTTGTGGGCAACTTTGATAAATGTATCACAAGCCATATCTTGAACACCTTCATGCGTTTCATGCATAAATTCAAACAATTTATTGACCACAGTTTTCAAAAACTTCCAATGAGCACGCAAAAATCTGGGATACTGTCCGACCACATACATAATATTTGAAGCGATCACCGATTTATTATCCTTTCCCCTCTTTTGCTCACAGAGCCCCAGCAGATCTGCAAAATATAATGAAAACAAGATATAATTTGGTAAGCACATACTCGAAATATGGTTAGAAAATACCCACCACGTATTACAGTAACAAGAAATCGTTTTTCGTCTTCTTCCACCATAGCACCACTAATTGAACCTATCGCCCAACAAAGCTATAAATCATCAACGATTTGAAGTCTACGTTCTTTATTAAATTAAATTGATGTTCAATAAAAAAAAATTTGAGAAAATGATACTGTATTGAGATTCCTCCAAGACCATTCCGAACCGTTCACCTGATTCTGCAGTTTTTCAGTCATTTTTAATTCTGTGTCTTTACAGTCAAGATGCGTCAAATAAACTGAAAATAAACGCTAAATTAATGAAGCAACACAAAACTTTTATAATTTCACAAATGGACTATCAATAGTGATTCTACAAACACATGCCCATTCAAAACAATCTGATATGTAATAAATACAAGAGAATATGAACTAAACAGGCCGATAAAACAAACCTAATGTCTCCCGCATTGTCTTATATAATGTTATAGAATCTGTGTCTTTGATCAATTCGCGAACCACCTCACCCTGTTCATTTTCAACCACTAATACTTCTTCCGGCTTGGCCATTCGAGATATCATAATTAGGCGCAACTATAAATTATCGTTTCTAAAAAGTAAGTAGCACTGATCAAACAATAAATTTATGAGAATTTAATCTAAATTTATACCTCAGAAAGAAATCTGCTGTAAAGTGCTCGACGAGGGGGTTCTAGTTGTTGCCGAAAATGATTTGTAAGTGCAGCTGCCGTATCCAATTGAAATGGAAATTCACGGTATAATTCTGAGCATATTCCATTCCAGTATTCGAGGCAGACTTTGAAAATTTCTACATCATCGACCTTACTTATTTTCAACAGATATTCGAGTGCCTGCATATAAAAAAATAACCGGAATTAACAAATACCGACCATACAAAATCGTAAAAACGAAAAACAACACGAAAGAAAAAAGAAGCATACTGATTCATGAACTTTTCGAAGTTCTCTATTTTTGCCGCAAACTTCTTCCAACACTTCGATGGAAGCAGAGTTTTCTTTCAGAAAAGCGCAAAGAAACTGCGCGAGATTGGCAATGAACTTTTGGTCCATATCTGATCCTTGCCTATATGCTTCTGCTAGATCAACTGATGAATCGATCACATTAACAACCTTAAATAATATTTTGTTGAAAACTAAAAAATCGCATTAACAATTATAAACTAAAACTGAAAATTCAACTATATTTTTAGAGATATATGAGATTCAATATATGAGATTTAAACTTTACTTGGCTTTTGCCTTTTTTATATAAAAAAGACAAATAATTATTTATTTGAATTCACAATGAAAATCTGCCAAAAGATATGTCCAACAATGAAGGAATTTCACTAAGTCATGAAAAATAATAAACAATAATAATAAAAAATAATAAAATAACAAAAATAATAAAATAACAGCACCTGAACCATAGTATCGCTAATCATTCTTTGCATTTGCAAGGTGAACTGAGATGCGTTATTACAGTTATCCATTTTGTCGAGTGATAAACCGGCAATTTCAGTCAAACACTGCATTGTAACACAACGAAACACTGGCACTCCAAGAAACTTAAAAATTTGAATGAAATAATCATAGTTCACAAAATAATCCAGTAAATTCCAAATCAAAAATCTATCCGAACTTCTGAGAGCAAGAGCAAGGATTGTTCCAGTTTTCTCTAAATCGGTTTCTGAAGAAAATCAATTTTGATGAATCAGAAAATATCTTAAAATGTTAAGCCGTGTGACAGTCGTCCGCGAAACAAAAAATTAAAAAATTTATAAGTAATGAAATATAATAAAGTGAAAAAAGTTGAGCAGAAATTACCTTCTGGGTGAGCAACGTGATCAAATTAGTCTCAAAAATATAGCCAACCGGTATCCAGCTGAGAAAACGATAAAGTGTTTGCAATGTAGCTTCAACTAAAGCTACATTTTGAGACGACTCCTGTGAAAAAAAGAAAAGTAGATTGAAATGTCTATACGAAAATTTAAATTTAGATGACTTAAAAAAATGTCGACATTTAAATTAATTTAGAAAACATACCATGATAGCATGGCACAGCCCAAACACAGCTTGAAATTCACCACAAAAAGATTTTTTGAGATGATGTGCCTTTGCTTGTGTTTGTTCACTGTCAAAATCAAATATTTCTTCACTGAAATAAATGGTGCCAGATTTGCAACTAATGCCGAAATATTTGTCGAAAAAGAAAATAGCAATAATGTTTCAGCTCAATGAATTAAAACCTTAATAAACGAAGGATTGTCATATTGTTGAGGCACAAATTATCATTAACGCTGCTCGAGCCAACAATATCAGCCATAAATGTAGGCCAGTATTTGGGCCATTCCCTTTTTACAATCTGAAACGAAAACCAATCCACTTAAATTTACTCCATCTAAATAGCGAATAAATGATAACAGAAAAAAAATTATGAATATACCTGCACCAAAACCAAATTCAGCTTATGCAGATAAATTTTTTCTTGAGGATTTGTCACTTCTCCACTACTGATTTTGATTATCAATTCCACTATGAACGATTTAATTCCTTAAAAATGACGTTAAACAACAAATGAGAAAAATTCCACTTTCATTCAATGAATTGATGATCAATAAAATACAAATAAATGAAGCAATCAAACCTTCGCACTGTTCTCTTGGTAAAGTTTTCCATCTAGTTTCAATAAGGGATTCTAAAATTTGAAGAGCGTAATACTTTGTCTCCAGCAATTGACTAAATTCCAATATGCCATCCACACGCATCCATGCAGATTCTTGTTGTTTCAATTCAACCAATATTTTTGATGCCATTTTCTGCGTCTCACCAGTTGAACGGTTCATAACACAAACAACCTCAAATAGTTCAACATAATCCAGTGATTCTCAATCTTTTTGCTCTACACACCTTCCCACTGTATGTCAAAATAAAATTCTCTCCGTCTACACTCTCTAACAAATAAAATGGAAAATGGAAAACCGAATGGAAAGCTCGCTTGCATAATCGTAGAAGATCGCAGCTTTCTCACAAACATTTTTCGATTCCTCTCTTGGAACCTTGAAAATCTTACTGACTCACAGTTGAGAACTCCTGTTACAATCCGTGTAGCTATTTTATATGCATGTATGCATTTCCCAAATATTTCCAAGATTATGCCGTGAAATGTCAACACATAATATACAAATGCATAATTCAGCACAAAAAATTTACTTTTGAAATTTACATTTTAATTTACATTTGCTCATTAAAAACCATCTTTCTTAAAAGCAAATGAAGTTGTTTTCGTGACTCCCTTCATAAATTATTCAATAACCATTATTATCCCTACCATAAAAAATCATTTAAAAAGGCTATCGCAATTTCTCAAACAACCAATCCAATACCATTTTTGCGAGAAAATGGAAAACATTCGCAACAAATTTTACTCATTTATTTGCTCATTCAGAAAATAGCGCATTTGATAATTTGGTTTTAGGGTTTTTTTTCGGTGACTAATCACCGGAAAAAACCTCTAAAACAAAAGTATCAAATGGACTATTTTCTAAAAAGTTTTTGAATGTTTAATATGCAGAAAAATTTGCAAAAAACATAAACAAGACATAAAAAAATGAGAAACCTGATCCAGCAGAGGCACATCAATCTTATCAACTGATAACAGTTTTTGTGCAGCTTCTTCCAATGCACTAATTGTCATCATCGTCATTGTGATTTCTTATTTATTCACGCAAAAATAACAAACACTCTAAAACACACTCACACAGTCGCACGCACGCAGCACACACTACACACGGAACTCGAAGCGGTTTAGGCGACCTGAAATTGGATTTTTTAAAAATAATTACATTATACTTCCTCCTCCTTACTTCTACAGCAATTTTTCCCATGGATAAACGTCAAATACATTTGTATTCAGCAATTCAAAAACTCATCGAAATGAATGAGAAAAATAAAAATAGCAAAATTCGTTCATTTCTGTTTACAACTAACAAATTCGATGTTTTTTGCTTTTTTATGAGCGGGGAAATTTGATAAGCGACCGGGCAATGACAGCAGAATAATAGCTAAAGCTATAATGGCAGAAAGAAAATATTTTTAAACTCTAAAACCACAGAATGGCCAAATCAAATCTCGGAACTCTCAACATTTCATTTTCCTGCGACTAATCACAAGAAATTCCAAACATAAACCACCCACTCCCCAAAAAACCACTCCTTTAAAGCAAATTGATCAAATCATATACAGTTAAATTCACTCAGCTGACAAAACCTTTTTCACAGAATATACGGTATTTCAGGGAAATCGTGGCAGGAATTTCCAGAAATTTAAGATTTACCACCCACCCATTAACACCCCCACACACGTATAAATTTTTTTTGCGACATATATATCTAGAAAAAGTTAGTGAAAGCTATGATCTCTGTTAATAACATAATTTAGTGAGAACCCCTCAAAAGAACATAAAACATAAGTGGGCAATAAATTTCTCACGCAGGAAGATGAGCTGAAATATTTATACCCAAAATTTAATCGATGGATTTTTTTTAGCTGTCTGAAATCGTTTCGCAAACTCCCAAGAACTCCATCTATGCGATTTAGTGGCCCCATAAATTGTGGGCAATGGGTTAAACAATCTCTGCAGTAAAAATTCTAGTTTTGATGCACCACGAATTATCGGAAACATTTGAACGCAGGTCCATTCATTGCTTCTCATTGGCTTTAAGCGCGATTTTAACGGACAAGTTTTAGGGCATTTCAGGAACAGATTAAGGAATATCAGCACGCCTCTAAGAAGCTTAGACTAAGCCAAAAAGCGACGCTCAACGGGATTCAACGCGCATACATAGGTAATTTAAGGAATAAAATGGGCTTAAAAGATAACGAATTAAAGAAATAAGCGAAGACTTAAGAGAAAAAACACCAGAAAAATTAGCAAAGTTTTTCATTTAGTAAAAATTTATCGAGAGATATAAGTTTAACAACACAAAATGTTCTCGAAAACCTAATGTAACAAAACAAAAAAATTATAAAATTTTCAAAAAAAGAAAAATCCTTAAGATCCTTAAAAGGAAATAAAAAATCAAATATAATAAAGAGGAGAAAGACCATTTACACTGGGAAGATTTCTTCACTTACAACTACTTTCAAACCTTTCTTCACAATTCCTCAATTTTTTCTTCCTCTCTGAAGGTTGTTGCCGTTCTTTCAAATTTCTTGTAGCATTCTATAAATTTCTACAATTCTTATACATTTTCCCCCTGTCTCTACCGTTATTACGAGGAAATCTTCGTTTTAAACTTATTCGACGAAATGTAAGGAGGAAATCACGTTGGTGATTTCGCGTCGTCATCATTCCGATGCTATACAGCGATGTATTATTTGTCCATCTTCATTTTTCTCTCAGGGAATGTGGAGAGGTTTACGATTCGAACCGCTCTCGCCCTCATATGATCATAAATAGAGTATCATAAATAAACCTTCAAAAAACCTTTGTTTTTTTTTATGATTTGAGAATCTCGAGATAACAGTGGTCACTTTAACCAGTTTCCTACACGATTACTATTTATTTTAAATTTATTTATTTTAAATTTAAAAAGGAATATAGGTAAAGTATATACATATATATGCAACATTTCATCGGTCTCCAGGAAGTCTATGTTGATCCTTCTAGCTAATAGTAACATATTAATGGTACTACGAGAGCAATTTGACTTCTTTCAATTCAATTGTTCAATCTATAAATAATTAAAAACGTATTTCAGCGACAACCTCAATATCATTCGTACTGCTAAGTTTGAAACTGTTATTTCATTTTATATTCTGCAAGCTTAAAATAAAGGTCGATTTTTTAAAACTGGATATGCTTGATAACACCCTACCTGGCTCTTTATGTATCTCCGTTTAGAAAAGGTGCTTAAAGGTTTATTAGATTTCGTTGAAAAGCATAATCAACTCGTTCGCTTGAGGGATTCTCATGTAAAGTATTTTTTACAAAAAAAGGATAAGTCCTTATTCTCCGACACCACGGATTTCAGACCACAGACTCCCTTTAAATTGAAATATAAAGTAATGTTTAATTTTTTCATTCGTTAAGAAGGAAAGAAAACTAGAATGGCGCTCACCATTTGAGTTCTGGTATGCTTAAAAATTTTATCAAGGAGTCAACTGAAATAGAGTTGAGCAGCATTCCAATTTTTAAATTACGGATGAGTATCTAATAACAAGATAGAACAAGATATGAGATAAGCATCTAATTAAACAAACGAGAATTAACGAAAATGTTCGCCCCAAGAAAATCCTGGATCCATTTGTGATTATTAGTTTAGGTTCTTTTATTTTTCGTTTTTAGCGTTGAGAGCCGATGTTATTAACATAAGAGTATTGCTATCGACCTGCTTCACCGTTTTTAAATAAATATATAAAAGAATATATTTAGAAAATGATTTAAGGAACTAAAACAAGTTTAAGAGATTATTAATGGAATATAACAATATTAATGTCTTTCCAAGCCCTTACTTCTTTCCTTCTATCAATACTCATTATTTCTTACTGGACCACCTACAGCTAACTGGAGACAGATTTATCTTCACCAAAGGATAGTTATACGATTTATAAGGAAAATATTTTAACCATTTAGATCCATCGAGTGGAAATGAATTATATGAATGGGTCGAAGAAAAGTATTATAAAAGATACTAAAAATATATTACTAATGTGGCAAAGGGATTACGGAGGAATCAGAAGGATCGTTAAAAAGCAATGTTATTTTAAGAAAATTATTAAACTTAACCGGACCTGTGGAGATCGCTATGCGATACCTAAAACTGACGTACTCTTGTTATGTTTGACAGAGTTGTGGTAAAAGAGTCTGAATGTCTGGAGTTTGAAGAAAATAGCGGGACCTTTTCAGGGACTCTAAGGTGCTTAACCTGATATAAGTGAATTCTTTCCAATAAAGGGTTATAACGGCTTTTCCTCCACGAACAGACAGAGACAAATTTAAAGCCAAACCTAAAAAATAGAACAATTCCAGCAGTTTGAGCGATGATTACTCGTTTTAGCGAACCTGCCAATTCTCCCTTTTCTGCACTTTCTTTTACCCAAAAAATAAAATTTAAACTGAAATTCGCCTATAGAACGATGTAAAAAGCAATATACTAAAATAATGCAACAATGATAAATGATAATCTGATAACATAGTTCCTGCATAAAATAGTATATATAGGATAAAATTACGAGGACGATTTGTGTGCAAGAATTGCCAGATGGATGGAAAAATACTCCCCCTTTACAGGGGGAATTACGAAATACATGTCATGGCTTCACTCGGCCTAATTCAAGTTTGGCCACAGCCATGATGGAACCACCGCAAACACAAAAGACAACAAACCGCTCGACAAACTGAAAATCTTTAAAATAGAAGCTTCAGCTTATTTTTATTATCTACGAAAGCATATGACCTCTACAAAGGTCAACAAAAAGGATAAACCGCCATAAATTCAAAACTTGGCGTTATTCCAATCTTAAAGGAAGCACGTGCGTTTGGCGTTGCGCTGGTTTAAATGCATTATCATTCTTTATTGGGTTCCGCTAATTTATGGTGCCCTTTCGAGTGTTTTCGGTGAGGAATTTTAGAAGCAGTTGTTAATTTATGCACCAAAATTCAGTTCGTGGTGACGAGGTGGTCTTTGCAGAAAAATTTTTCTTTTTGTATTCTGTTATTTTTATTCTCCACTAATTTTTTTGTTGTATGTTTAAAATTATTCAAAATCCATCATTACTGTTCGCGTGAATCCACTTCGGTCACCGTTGCCCGCGTGAAGCCTAAGCCATAATTCCCTTTCATTCATCAGTGTTTAAGGCAAGAAAAAAATCGTCGCTGTAGTCGAGTAGAAGTTCCGCGATTCGGAATTATCCAACTCAATGGATTGCGTTGTAGCTTCAAATACTGGAATTGTGAAAGGTAATGACTGTACACGATTCTTTGTAATACCGATCCAACGCTATTATCCAGTGATTCGAAGCACTGGAGAAATAATGAGGAAAACAACGTGCTGGCGAAAATTATATGAGAAAGTCGGGCTGGTTTCATTGATGTTAATCGACCAATATTAACGAATCATTTAAATCGTTTTCAAGCCCTTTTTTATCATTTTCACTTTTCTTTTTCTAATCGCTTTTTTCCTAAGGAAATGAGGGCTTATGGAAGAGAATTTTAATCTTTTTTAGAGGTATCTTTTCGTGATAACACTTTTAAGAATTTGACGTCGTTACAATCAGTGAATCCAGAGCAAGATGAAATCAGTTGCATTTGTTGGGGAGATTATGATAAGGTTCTTTTTTCACGATTAAATTGTCTTCTTAAAGAAGGTGGCTTCAAAACGTGCTTTTTAATGCTTCTTCAATATGATCATTTTTAGAATTGGAAGGTTGCCACTCTGTATTGTTATTGTTATTTTTTCCTTTTAAGAAAGAGATTATGTTATCATTAAGGGGTCATGAGATTATCATAAATCAAATTTTTTAAAATTTAAGAGCTCGATTTTATCAGCGCATGTTAATCGGCAGTTGAAAATTTATGATATTGATAGCAAAAGTTCTTCGAATTTGTTTAAAGTTTCTTTGGATCATGGAGTACCAAGAGGACTTCGAATAACCAAGGAGTAAATCCTTTTGATTTTTATGGGCTATTAATTTGATTTTACATTCTTTACGTTTTTGGACAAATTATAGAAAAAAAGGGGGATTATGTAGCTGTCAAATGCTATAAATTTTGCTAACTGTTGCTTCCAAAAATAATTGGGAAGATTATTTCCAGTGGTGAATATATTTTAACGGCTGTTGAGACGGGTCAGCTTACTTGTTGGAACAAGAACGGTGAACAGATTTTTGAATTGGACGCCGGCAATAATTTAACAGTACTGGCGGATAATGATCCTGCAGAATTTTATTGTGCAACGGCCGGCAAGGAAAACCCGATAAAGTTATGGGATATGAGAGCTCAGAAATGTTTTTGGGAAGCAAAAAATGTATCTGTGACAATCATTTGCTCTGCTTTTTTTCTTACTCTATTATCATTTGGTAATTATTGGTTATAAAAATTTGTTGTAATAACAGTTATTTACAGGTTCGTCCCGATAATTTAATGTTACGTGTACCTATTTGGGATACGAGTGTAAAATTTTTACATGATTCTCACTGTATCGTTTCAGCAACAAAGCGGCATCAAGTAACTTAATTTTCTTCAGTATATTAGTATATATTTAAACATAAGAGTTTGAGATATAATTCGACTTTTCGATTTTTCTGCTACTTCATACCAGTATTTTATATTTTATTTAAAAATTTTACACCACATTTTTTTATGAATTTAGATTCGGATTTACGATCCAAAAACACAGCGTCGACCAGTGAAAGAGATTGAATGGTTAGAAGATCCATTATCTGCTTTGGAATTGGCCATGAATAACATGCATATTTATGTGGGTAATACGAAAGGAGAAATGGGCATGTTTGATGTGCGAGGCAAAAGTTGGTTAAAAGTTTAATAATATTATTAGAAAATAAAATATTAACTTGATTTTTTTTTGTTCGAAATTAGCTTGAAAATTTAATTATTGGAGCTTTTTATTTTTAATATTTTGTATTTTGCTGCTATGGTACTAAGCTAAATATAACAATTTTTTATGATACATATAGTGAGTTCTTCAACTTTATTCGACGCTGGATTATTGAGCACCAAGATTTCGAATAACCGTTTTGTGTTTATTTTATTTTAGTGTTGTTAGTACGCAAATATAAGGGAAATGCTGGCTGTATAACAGGGATAGTTGGTTCTAAATTTTGGCCTTATCTCGCTTGCTGTTCTACAGATCGATTTGTTCGCTTATATAAGATGGAGGCAAAAGAACCATTGCGAAAAGTAGGTCTATATAAACCATTTCTATTAAAGAAATCTCTTGTTGTTAAATTTGTTTCCAGATTTATTGCAAAAGTTCTCTAAGGCATATATTATTCGGTCATTCACTCGTGTTAGGCGAAGGTCTGGACTGTGAACCTCTTGCGTATAAAGTAACCGAAACTGATAATGAATATTTCAACGTTAGTCTTTAGATTATCCAGTTTTTTGCAGTAATGTATGAAAAAAAGGCTAAATTTTTTAAATAGAGGGTTTAATCTTTTTATGCTTTAAAAGATGTCTTTGCAGACGATTCACCTTTCACAGAGGGATGAAAGTGATTCGGAATGGAATTTGATTTTCTCAAAGTCAAACAAAAATAAAAAAAGGAAGCAATCGCCAGTAAGCTTTACATTATTAGCCCAAAAAACCATTTGAAAGCTGGAATATTTATTAGAAAATGCACTTTACAAAAAATATTTAAGGAAGTTGATTATCCGGTTCCACTGAAAAAATTTATGAAAGGGAAGAAAATGAAAAGAAAAAAAGCGAAAGAACAAAATATTAATGATTCGCATGAAGAAGGAGAATCGTGCGTCGCTAAAAAAGAGAGGAAAGGCAACGTGCATAGAAATAAAAGTGAAGAACATTCGATGCAACAATTTAGGAAGTATAGAGAAGCCTTGCAAAAAATATCCGAAGTGAGAGGTAAAAGGAAAAACATGAGGAAAGAACTTGTGGATTCATTAGAGCCAAAAAATAAGCGCCTTCGAAATTGAACTGATTAAATGTAAATGGACAGAATTATATATGGCATTATTTAATCTAAAATCAAATTCTCAGTTCACTGGTAGCTGTTTTCTGATATTATTCTGAATATAATTTTTACTGTTGTATTATATATTCTTTGTTTGCTTTATGTTGTTTTTTTTTTTCCTTTTTGTTTTTCATCTTGTTCGCTATCTGCTTTCTTATAAATAGAATATAAAAGAAATTAATCTATATCTTTTTGTTAACATTTTGTATCTATATACCTGCACTTCTATCGCCAAGGGACTTCATGGCATATTTGTTCAGTGATACAAGCCAGCAGAGCGAGTCTAACCAGTAATGGTAAGTGTTCTTAAAAAATATATGTACCTTTAAACGGTCTGCATAATAATTTGCTGTGTGGTATAGGGTATTGCGTATGTACGCAAAAAGAAACTTCCCCCAAAGTGCCCAATTTTTTGAAAACAACATCGTGCTGAGTGAATGATCGTAGCCCTTGTCAAACTTCCTTCATCTTTAGTTTCCTCATTTGCTGTAACCCTTTGAGAACGTCATCTTATACCAATCGGCTTTTATTCAGCTTTTCCTTCGAAGTTTCATCGAAAGTCTCCTATTATCTTCAGCAAACCAGCTTATTTTATAGTGAACCGTCCTTGAGCGGCTGTGTTTTTCATTTCTAATCGCTGGTTATTTATTGCTTCCTCTCTTTCTAGAACAGAGCTCATATAAATTAAGAATACGTGGAATTTGTACATTTTGTAATGTAGCGTTGGCAAATTTTATTTCGTAATTCACAAGTATGAAGCTATGTTCACGAATAAAATACATATGTAATATATAGCGTAAACATAAAAATAGTAAAGATCCAAGAACAAACTAGCCAATTTCGTAAATATATATGAAACAGTATTTCATTTTAAATACTTTTTTGCCATTTATGAATTATTGTTTCTCTTCCCTCTTTATTTTTTTTTCTTTCTTTTTATTAATGATAATGCTTTTTTATCAAGTCTACATGAATATGAAGTTTGCTTATTTGTTCTTTTGAAATCCTGATAAAAAACTAGAGTTCCGGATGGTTGCTAGGGATCCACCTATATTTACCCATTACAGCCCTATCCTACTGATGCATGCGACAAATATACAGACAAATGTACAGAGTCTGACAAAATGATTTCAAGGTTTGGGGTAGAATGAGCTTGAGCCAGGATAAAGAGATCTGTTAATGAAGATGAACAAAGAGATCCTGGCTGTAACTGTAACATCAAAACGCTCATGAACGTCGGGAACCAATAATGATTTAATACCCAATAATATAAATACACGAATTATTAGAGCATCTCAATAATGCAAATGTAACCAACACTGGAACAGCATATTGCTTCCAACCATAGGCGTGACTCCGAAAACGCCGCTCTAAAACGGCTGGAAAAGTTGGGGTATCGAAGCAACAGTCCTACTGTCCGAAAAGGATATCGGAAAACATATCATACTTGCAACAGCTGTCACTATTACTGGTTAGACCGGTTTTACTGGCTACAAGAATAAGCGTCTCCAAACTGTACGGTCTGATGCTATCGTCGACAGTATTATAAGCCATTCCTTTTTCCATCGCTATGTCCATATACCGCTAGTAACTCCATATATAGGCGCTGGTCCACCCATACGTCCAAAATCTTTCCTGATTGGACCAGTACAGGTCTTGATTGACCCTATTGATGCCACCCATCATAGAGTTTAACAAATAACAAATAATGAAATATCAACTCTACCCTTGTACTGGGCGACGAAGTGCGCGCCGTAACCAGCTAAGGCGACGCTCTGTGATGATATCGTTAATGCAAATGGTATTTGGGATGATGCTTGCTGCTATGCGTTACTTATTTTATAATAACCTTGATTCCGGCTGCTTTATCAGTACAGTAGAATAAACATTGATCGACACGTATTAATAAAATTTTTATTCGCCACCTCAAACTTGGGTAATTAAACCACATTAATATAAAGATAGAAAAAACAAAATTCGATTAAATCAAAGAGACTAAAAGGCAAGAATAAAGGAAAGGAATAAAAGAATTATGGACAAAAAAACAAAAAATGAATATTTGAATACACAAATATTGGGACCTAACCGCTTGGGTCTCTTGATGGCTCCTAAATAAGGGAAGAAAAACGATTTTTTAAGAGGAATATAATATACTATAAATACTATAAATTGATCTGAACTTTTTCTTTTGGCGGATCGAGGTCACCGGTATCACCGACAGTAATTTTAAAAAAGACATCAAATCTTGCGACATCGTATATATACAAATCTGTGCCGATTTGCATTAATAAAACCTTTGAATGGAATTTTTTCCATCATCTTCTAAATAGCTTCTCTATCAATTGAATCAAAGACAATTGAATCAAGCTGCAAAATCAATCAGACATATGACAATGGGTTGCTGATATTTGAAGCGATGTTCCAATACTCTTCTTAGCGTGAATATCTGGTCAGCACAACCGCATCCCGATCTAAATCCACTTTGGTTACAATGCATCCTACCGTCATAAATCTATTCAGAAGGAATGAAGCAAAAATTTCCCGGGAGATGTAGGCTGATTCCCCAATAATTGTCACAGTACGTCCTATCACCTTTTTAAGGAATTGGCAGAATTGTTTTGCGGCAGTTATCTGGTATTACTTCTTTCTTCCACTCCAGAAAATATACTTATTGAAGATGTGAGATGAAGGACGATGGACAATATTTGAAGAATTTGGCCCGACGACCATTTTCGAGGATTTTATATCTTAAGCTTCTGGATGACAGATTATTTCCTGCTGTCGATTCACAATTGAAAGCATATGGCTCAGCTATGTGGATAACAAGTCCGAGATAACAGATGGTGCATCGTGGTTAAGTTTGGTCTCAAAGAATTCTTTCCATCTTATGAGGTGATCCACCTTAATAACCTTAACAGGTGCCCCATTAATATATCGTATCATTTCACCCTTTCTCGAGTTACAGTTGCTGAAAAAGGCGAAATAATTACCTATTATCACCTAACCGAGCTGCCATCCCCAACCTTAAGGCCATATCGTTTTAACTGCGATTTCTGTCTCGCCATGCTGCTGTCCTTGAAATTCTAGAAGCACCCGATAGGATCTCCTCATTCGTGCTTTGGCAGCATTTTCAGCCACTCGGATTTTTGATATCATGACAGGTTTACTCCTACCAAATGCAAAGAGATAAAGTTTGAGGAAAGACAAAAGATGAAAGATTAAAGGAAAAATAAACCAAAGAACTAAAAAACAAAGTTATTATGTAAACTTGACAGGTCGAAATTTGTAAAAATTTCGGGAAATATAAATAATAATACCAGAGTACCAGAGTACTTAATGGACAGTTGCTTTCAACACCCAACTATCGCACTCTTTACTAGTATACCCTAGTATGAAAATGGCTGAGTTTTACAAGCATTCTTTAGTTGGGACCAGTATTCATATGCCGTTCCAGAGATGTCATTTATTTCACTGAGATGTTTCAAGAATTCGGTTTAAAATGCGTTTACTGTCCTAGAATCCTTTAATCTAAGATAATTGAAAGACCTTGGAAGACGTTTTCTTGCGAATTGTCAGTTTTATGCGAATTGCAACATAGTCGATCCATGAAAGTTGCCCGTTTCGAGTAATTTAGGGGTAATTAAAAGTGGATCCCCATCAGCCACTCGGATTTTTGATGTCATGAAAGGTTTACTCCTGCCAAAGCCAAAGAGGTAAAGTTTGAGGAAAGATAAAAGATGAAAGATTAAAGGAAAAATAAACCTAAAAAAAAAATTATCGTGTGAACTTGATAGGTCGAAATTTGTAAAAATTTCGGGAAATATATAAATAATAATACCAACGTAGTTAGTGGACCGCTCACAGCCGATATTTTTAATATTTCCATGTTAAGAAACCTTAGTTATTGAATGCTTTGAAAACATGCAATATTGGCGCGGCAGAGCAAAAACTCCGAGTTATATATTCGAGTGAAGATAAAAACAACTATTTAAATAGGTGATAATTTAAAATTATTCCACCCTTAACAGGGCAAGCATAACTCGGAAATAATTCAATGAAATAATTCAAGATAATGGTGTCTTTCCAGCTCTCAAAGTCCATATTATTTAGTGGAGGGAATTTTTTAGAACTAAACCATAATGCGCTATCTGTCAGTCTGGATACAGTTGAAGCGCTCTTCGTACCATACTCGTTTGCAACTCCGAGCCGCCAAAAGAGCAAGAAATCTGTGTCAAATCTCTATCTTAGAAGCTTAAGGCTAATAAAATGCCAGAAAATAAATTTTCAT